AAAAACAATGCAAACAAGATATGAATGGCTTTTGCATAATCCCTACATAACAGCACAAGCAAGAACTAACATATAGTAATATATATATAACTATCAATCACAATTGAGTTTAATTTATCTTATTTTTGTCTGTTAACATTCTACTACACTGTGTGCCTGTGCTATTATGTAAGGCTGATGCCATTCCTGCTATCTTGTTTGCAATGTTTTTGAAGGATTGTTTAAATTCCTTTTTGAATTTTTTTTTTCTTTACTTGTATGTTAGGGTGAAGCAAAGTACTTTTTCTGCCTCATATCAGATTCTCCATGGGTATAATAGTTGTATATTTATAATAAATGTATAAAATATTATTCAGTTTTGTATTCGTTTACTGGTTCTGCAAGATGCCTGAACTTTCCAATACTTATGCCTAGAAATTAATGTTTTAACATTCAGCCCACCTTGCATAGATACTAGTAAAATTGCATTAGTTGTTTGCATTCTTCATGCTTAGTAAGTAATGTCCTGACATGCAATCCACTTTTCATGGGTAGCTAGCTATAAAAATGTATCACTTGGCAACTTTCCTTGAGTTCGTAGTTACTCCTTGGTGCAGTGTGCACTTTGTAAGGCATTGCTTTGTTGTGAGTAAGATATGACTTGAAGAAGGACTGTCACCCTGCTGTAGTGCTATATTTATTTTCCCTTTCCTTTATTACAGATTCGTCATGAGTTTGACAAGGCGAGCTACAATAAACATTTGTTGGCATTTTCACAGGTATCAGGATTTGATGCACAACCACTGAAAATCAATGTTCTACCAACAATTGCAGATGTTATTTCACACTATCAGTACATAAGACTAAAATTGAAGCCATTATTATCAGATGCTGAGCCAAAGGTTGTTGAAATTGCTGAGACAGTTGCTTCTGATGTAGAAGACCCATGAAAAAAAAAGCTTAAATTCCAATCATTTCTCATAATAGCTTGATAAGGAAAATATGAATGTTTCATGACAAATATCACACTTTGATGAAATTAATTAAGAGAGTTGGAACTCCTACCTTTGATACTAAATTGGCAGAACTTTCTCAAGGAAACAATGAAATTGTGTGATATAGCCATTTGCAAATGTGATGTAACTCATCAAGTTCCTATTCCTGAAAGAAATTTTGAACGACCAGCAAACAAATGGCAATTGAAAGAGTAAATTTAGTACTAACCAAAAAAAACTGCGAAAGAGCTTTGAACATAAAAAGTCAGAAGAGGATATTGGATGAAGCAAGCACAAGTATGGCAGAATCATTTCAGAACTCTTCATCATCTGAATCAGAAACAAATGTCAAGTCTAACAATTCTGGGTCAGAAATGATTTCAAACTCATCTGCTGGTAGAGTAATTGAACCTTCATGTAAATCACATCAAATGAGATCTCGTATGCCCATGCTAGCTAGGACTTGTGATCGGAATTGGTATTTCAGATCATTCTTCTTGAATAGAGTTATTTAAACATTTGTTTAACAACAAATAAAAGCTTGGTATGGTCTATTTTTTCATTGGGGTGTGTGTTTGTGAGCCAAACTAGTTTCGGAGAATTCCACTCCTTATCAGTGAACCTGAACAAATGTTTAAACAACTCTATTCAATTATGTACCAGCTGCCTAGTGTTGGCTAACAATACGAAGAATTAAATTGTGGCGGAATGCTACAAGTTCTTCAAATACCTATAGAATGATAGGTTTCTTTTTTTGTGTGCGTGTAAAACACTTAAATACACCATTTCGAAAATATTTAATTGTTGAGGTGAAATAACTCGTTCTCAACATGTCACTTCCAGCCTAAAGCACTCGACCATTCGTCTATCACTGGTAACCATAACTTGTTTTTGGCTATTACCCCCTCACTGCTGCAGTTAGTCATCGTTAAGCTTGGGTATATCAGAACGTCAATCAATATATTGGGAAACGTTTCAGCCAGCTCCTCTTTCACTACCATTACCTTGTTTTTTCGTTAAATGGTCTAGCAAGTATTTTTGAAAGAACAAGCTTTTAGAACATATTAATGAAACATTACAAAATAATAAACCTATACGAAATAACTAAATTCACCGTTGTCATAGTGACACGATTCCAAACATGTGTTTTTCAATGAGACATCTAATTTTGTTTTGCTTTTTCTCTCTTACTCGGGGGGTAGGGGCTTCGATCCGTGGGGTAATTACCCCCATTTGCTACCCTCCTTAATTCGATCCTGTGGTTACTGCATGATATTATAAATTCATAGAGCAGTTTCCAACCATTATACAAGTTTTAATGATAATTTTATAACTTACTGTTTACTTTTTAACTGCCCCCCAGTAGCACAGCGGTATGTCTGCGGACTTACAACGCTAGAAACTGGGTTTCGATACCCGTGATGGACAGAGCACAGATAGCCCTTGTGTAGCTTTGTGCGTAATTACAAACAAACAAACCAACACTTTCCCCCCAATTATTTACGTGCTCCTTTTTGGAGTGTTTGTTTGTTTTTGATGTATTTTACGCAAAACTTCTCGAGCGCTATCTGAGCTAGTCGGTTCTAATTTAGTAGTGATAGACTAGAGGGAAAGCATCTAGTTAACACCACCCACCGCCAACTTTTGGGCTACTCGTTTACCAACGAAAAGTGGGATTGAACGTCACATTATAACGATTGAAAGGACTAGCATGTTCGGTGACGGGATTCGAGCTCGCGACCCACAATTTGCGAATTGAGCGCCCTAAGCACCAGGCTTTTTAGATGAGGTAATGAACTCAACACCATTTTAGAGTGGTCTGAATGTCCTGTTGGATACAACTCAAAACTTACTTTTTTTTAGGTTTAAATCTGTCTATATGATGTTAACATATTATATCAAAGCATTACACTCATTGTTTTAGGCAATACGGGAGGACTGTAGAGGGGTAGTTTCCGATGTTTTACTGCCAGATTTCTAACAACATGGAAAGTAAATTTATGTCAATGTAAAGTTTAGGGCACCTGTCCTTGTCGTAGGCTCAAGTGAATAACACAAGCACCCCAATAAGGTGTACTTAATAAGAGACAAATACCGTATACAAAGTGCAAAGAACCCCTAAAAAAGATTAAACTCCTACTGGTTTACGGTAGACATGCGACAGGTAGATATCTTTTTATAAGTTATCTTGTGTACCTGTTTCTGTTTGTTTGTTATGAATTTCGCACAAAGCTACACGAGAACTATCTGCGTTAGCCGTCCCTAATTTAGCAGTGTAAGACTAGAGGGAAGGCAGCTAGTCATCACGACCCACCACCAACTCTTGGGCTACTCTTTTACCAACGAATAGTGGGATTGACCGTCACATTATAACGCCCCTACGGCTAAAAGGGGCGAGGAAGGTTGGGTGTGACGGGGAGTACCTGTTTCTAGATCAGCAAATATAAAAAGTTATCTGTCCGTCTGTATCTATCATAACTCGTGTACCAATTGAGTGAAGTTCATAAAACTAAAAAAAAAAAATTCAATTGCGTCAAATAAATTGTGATCATTTTTTTTTTTGAAACGATAAAATGTAGTCATTCTTTTAAATGGAATTGGCTTCATTAATTCATATTTTACTTTTCCCCCCTATTATATACACAGTTACTTTTGATTAAAAGCTTCTAATACTTCTACAATAAAAACAAAATGATCACACCCACCCCCCATGAGGTCAAGAGAGTCAAATGTCACGGGTCTCGAGTTTTACATGCTGAAATGCCTTCTTACCTGACATTCTGGCGACAGGAAGTTACTGCTAAAATCTGGAGTGTTTAGTAGTGACTGTGGAGATGGTATACACGGGGTTGGTACTCGCCTTTCACCTGGCGATGAACTTCCGGTCAGTGAGCTGAATGGCATCCTGTAAATTCGTAAAGGCTTATTGCTGTCCGCAGAACTCACGTTGTTGATAGCTGAAGATAAATACAAGGTTAGAAATGACACAGCAATTGTTTGTTTTTTTGTTTGTTTTTTGAACTT